ATGATTTGTGCTCAATTCTTCCTTGTCTGCTCCTGTGGTGTCCAGGCCAACCTGCATGACAAATATGGACAGCTGGTGGTTTTGTATACCAAGATGCTCTGCACAAAAATGGAGTTTCATGTGAAGGTAAGAGCATTTTATGTCATATATCACACCACATGGTACAAAGATGCACATAATGGATGATAAAATGTTTTGGGATTCACACTGTGAATGGGAATAGGCACTAAACCTCCAAAAATGCGCCTCTGCAGCATCCAGAAATCCCACCGAACCTGGAGGTCACAGATGAAGTCCTGGAGCGCACTGCAGGAACAGACATTAATAATGTGTGAGTTTCCAAATACTGCGGCAAATGAATTTTTAAATTATCCATTTAACCTTAAATCCCAATTATCATCAGACATGAGCACAGATGCTGCCACCCAGCTCACAAAATAAACCGACAAGCCCTGCTGCCTGTTTAATTTCACAGGGTCACATCATTATTGCCTCCGAGTGGGGCCTCTTTTCTTTCTGACGGAGGTATCAACTTCTATCCTGCAGGTTCCAGCTCACAGTGGAGGTGTTCGATTACTTGGACGCAGAGCTGAGGCTGGCCGAGACAGGTGAAAGAAAAACTCCTCCCACCTTTTCCCCCATACTACTTTCAAGGAAGAGAAACTTGAGCTACAGTAAAGGGCTGCAGCCTGCTGACATTATCTATTTATGTACAAAAGCCAAGAGCCTTTTAAAGAGAGTTATTGTGAGCAACTCTTACCCTGCCTATTTTCACATAGACTGTAGTCCATTCAAAAGTGATTCGAATCGCTTGGCCTTGTTTTAACTCCACCGTTTTTGCCTAAATTTGTTTTTAACTGATGAGGAAATGCCTGCAATTAGAGGACATTAAAAAGATTTGTTCCAGTTTATCTGCAGTGGTATGCTCCTCCCAGGCCTGCAGGGTGGAGGCCCAAGGTCACGTGTCAACACCATAAACAAATTTTGCAGCTGTACTGTGAAAGAAGTGTGCTTGTACTCTTTAGATGTACTCACATATGCGTTCTTAGTGTCAGCGCTATGTTTTGGAGTCGTTGGCACAAAATCTCTTGTCAGAAAGTATATTGTTGCTACCTCACCAGTCAGCAAGTAACAAGAGAACCGAATGTGAAAACTAACTCTGCATCAGTAAGTTACTCAATGGAAGAGTCTGCACTTCATTCAACCAATGGTATCTGTATTCACCAATACAGCCTATGTTTACACTACAAGATGCCTTAGAGGACTAAACATAGGCATCATTTAGAGGCCAGCATCTAACACAGTCAAAATTTACTTTACGGGAATACTTAACATGTACTGTATGTTTATTCTCTGATCTCTCTCCCAGTGATCCGACAGCTCAACACATCCATCGCCATCTCCACTCTCACATCTGGCCAGTGTCGGCTGGCACCACTCATCCAAGTTGTCCAGGACTGTAGTCACCTCTACCACTTCACCGTCAAACTGCTGTTCAAGCTGCACGCTTGTAAGAAAACCAGAAAATGCCATTTAGCATACCATTAGCCTAAAATTCTGGGATAGCTTGAATGTTATAAATATCAATTAAATTAAGCAAGTAAATTAATATTATTTATGCGTCTCAAAGCATTGCCTGATAATAAAAACTTTGTACCATGTTGTGGATTTCAGGTCTTCCCGCTGACACTTTACAAGGACATCGTGATCGTTTCCATGACCAGTTCCACAGGTAGGTCATCCACGGCCTCAGGCCAGGAGTGAATGAGACTGCATCAAAGGGGACAGAATTATTTTTACCAAAGGAAGTGTGCAACATAATCCTGCCTCACCCAGTCACCACAGCACTTTGAACCAATGCAAATCACTGCTTCCCATTCCCCCCACCCTTTGTGGGATGTCAGTTGGTGTCCCTGTCAGATACAAATTTATGTCTTTACTACTGAGTTCAAAGAAGAGTCTTCAGGGTTGGGGGAGATGATCCCGTTAGATTAATTCATTTTATGTAGTTTTACCTAATGCTTCATGTGACTTTTTAGTACAGTGACACAGATTTACATTCCTTCCACTGCTGATAAAACACCATCTGTAAAAAGCCATCTCTTACAAGTCTAGAAAATATAACCTAAAACATAGCAGATATGAGTTTGTATTACACAAGCTGTATTTTGTGCCATGAGTATGACATTATTATTATTATTATTTATTTAATATTATTAATATTTTTATTATTATTAGACTAACTTGTCCTTTGTCCCACAGCCTGAAGACATTCTTCAATAAAGCCAGAGACATGTTGTACTTCAAGAGACTGATCCAGATCCCCAAACTGCCTGATGTAAGAGCACAGAGGGATGGGGAGAGGTGGGATGACTTCAGTGCTGAGTCACAGCCTCCATGTTAGATGTTAAAGACTTCACCATAAACCTAATACTCCTATTGTTGGCTCGAACGGGACAAATTGGCTTATTATTTAAATAGACTGTTGTGATCTGTTGAAATTTGATTTCACATGAAGGTTTTCTCATAGACGCTTATAAATATGCACAGTGGCTCAGTGGTTAGCACTGTTGTTTTACAACAAGAAGGTCCTGAGTTCAATTCCCGGCTTCTGTGCGAAGGTCTCCCCGTGTCTGCGTTGGTTTTCTCTGGGTTTTCCCCATGTGTATGCTTGATTTCTCCTGTCAGTGCCCTTAACCAAGACTACCCAGGTGCTGTACAATGGCCGCCCACTGCTCCTAGTACTTAAGATGGGTTAAAAGCAGAGGACAAATGTCGTACTGTGTATGATTGTGTATGTGATAATAAAGTTGATTCTATTCTATATATTTCACCTAAACACAATAACATACTGATATAAGTTTAAGCAATACCTACTTTTTTTTTTCTTTTTCTCTTTGTCAGTCCCCACCTAACTTTCTGCACGCAGCCTCACTCGCTAAGCATGTGAAGCCTGTAGTGGTCATCCCTGATGATGACGAACCAGAGCACCAAGACGACGACGATGATGACCCCGAACCACTCATTGAGGTCAGCAACGTGTCAACATCTAGCATACAGGCACAGCCACAGGTATGTCACAGATGTATACAGTACACTGTGTATGCTCGCTCACACGAGTACTTGTACAAATAGTACCATGGCGTTTCTTAAGCGTTTTATTTTATTTTACTCTTATTTTTTTAGCAACTGGACATATTTGATCAGACGTTTGGACCTCCAAATGGGGGCTTCGATGACAGGTGAGCCAGGGTGTTTTTCCACTGTAAACTGTGATTGTTAATATAGACCATTTGTTTTATGTTTTATGCCAGCAAGCCATGACTATGTGTTTTCTGTCTGGCAGGGATCTCCAGATTGAGAGCCTAAAACGGGACCTGGAGTTGTTGCGAGCAGAGTTGGAGAGAGTCAAAGCAGAGGTAAGGAGTTGTGTGACCGAATCACTTGGTCATTAGGTTTCAGACTTTTTTGTGTGTGCACAAAAGAGGTGTGGCTGTAGAGGGCATTATTATCTATGTGCAAAGGAATCTGGGTCATGTGTTGGGTGGATGCAAATCCTGCTCCTGACATGTGGAATGTGGCAATTGGCCTCTGAACGAGTGTCCAGTTGAGAGTTTTGATGTCACAGATGTGATTCCAGCTTGCAACCTTTTGCAAGTCATCCCTTTTTGTATCTGCTGTGTTTCTTGCTTGTGTTTTTCTGTTATTAAAACAGACATAAAGTAAAAAGATAGGGAAATAGGATCAGGCCAGTCTCAAGAGATGAGCTGGGTTTGTAAAAATAGACATTTTGTGAAATGAGAGATATCGGAAGATTATTATGTTGAATACTGAACAAACTGGATTTGCAATGACATCAGTAGATTATTATTAAAGTGCACATCTCTCTTTTCTCTTCCTTAAGGCTCAGCGCTATATCACACAGCTGAAGTCCCAAATCAACAGTTTGGAGGCAGAACTAGAAGAACAGCGTGCACAGAAACAACGTGCTCTTGTGGAAAATGAACAACTGCGCATGGAGCTGGAGGCTACTCGCCGCCGAAACGCAGAACATGAGAGCGTACAGACCACCTTCATTGAAGCAGAAAGTGAGACATGCAGTCAACACTCTCTCTCATACGCTTGGACATGTGGTCAAGTGCAAACGATAACGCTGTCATCTCTCTTTGCTGTGCAGAAAGATCGCAGGCCACTGAGCAGCGCTACAATAAGCTTAAGGAGAAGCACACAGAGCTGGTGGCCAGCCATGCTGAACTACTTCGGAGGGTACAGACAGACTGCAGACCAGTCCAGAGATTGTTTGTTTGAAATTAGATGTCAGCACCTGGCCTGGTGTGTGGTAACACTAAATGTGTTAATGTGTTGACAGAGTGCAGACACTGTGAAGATGCTGTCAGCGACCCAGCAGACCCAGGAAGAGGTGGAGAGGACCAAACAGCAGCTGTCATTTGAGGTTGATCGAATAAAACAAGAAGCTGACATGAAGGTTGGTGATATATCCTTTGAAGGTCCAGTGTGAAAACATTTAGGAGGCTCTATTTGGAGAAATGGATTATAATACTATAGGTATGTTTTCTTTAGGGTATAATAACCTTAGAATAAGCCTTTTATATCTACATGCGACATGAGTTGCTTTCCATGGAGTCCATGTTGAACTGCCACGTTTCTACAGTAGCCCAGGACAAACCAACCAAACGGTAGCTCTAGAAAGGGGCATTCACGTTTCACTGCCACGTAGCTTCTCCTTTACGCTTGGAAAGGGTGGGTGAAGCCACGTAGATGCAATCTGCAACTTCACAGCTAGATGCCACTAAATCCTACACACTGGACCTTTTTCTTTTTTTCTTAATGCCAAGGTAGCGTTGCAGTATAGATGTGTGTAAATAATGATGTGTTGTCACTGTAGCTGGAAGAGCAGAAGTTTGAAATGGAGAAGCTGAGGAGAGAGCTGGAGGAGAAGATGGCAGAAGTGACGCGCATCAAGGCGACTCTGCAGAGCACAGAGATGGTGAGTGTACACCTCTAATGCAGCAACGCCCTTGATGATGTTTAGCTAATTCACAATTATTTAGTATTTAGACTTCTCATCAGTTCTGTGATCGGAGACTTGAGGCATGTCACACATTTCCACATGGACTTTCCGTCTGACACTCACGGCCATCTGCTCTACTCTGGCTTCCTTCGTTGCTCTCTCTCTTTGCCAGACAACGGAGCAAGTGAACAGCTCAATGACGGCTCTGCAGGCAGAGAAGGAGCGTCTGATGCGATCTGTGAGTGAGAAGGAGGCGGAGCTGTCGTCGCTGCGGCAGGCTGCGCAGGTGCAGCAGTCGTCACTTCAGCAGGAGCGAGAGAGGAACAGCAGGGAGCTGGGAGAGCTGCAGGGCAAACTGCAGGAGAAGGTCAGTCAGGACAGCGGAGCCGAGCTCAGCAGTGTGAACAGCAGACGAGTCTCCACTCAATACATTTGGTTGTATTCAGCAGTATTTTAAGTCTGTCTCCTTAAGAAAAAACATGCATGGTTAAAGTTTAAAGTATCTAAAGGGTATTACATTACAATCATGCATAAATCTGAAAAATACCTTTTTTAAAAGATTGACTTTTACTAGGCATATGCCAAGGATGACTGTGCACATTTGTACAATGGCTAGGTGTGCATGAACTGCAATGTTCTAATAGTAACCCTAAGATAATACTTGGAATCCAAAAGGATGTAGGTTTTCCATTTTAGTCAAATCAGTGACGTTTAGTTTAGACTTGTAATCAAACAGTGAATCACAATCAGTTTTTGAGGCATTTTATAAATCTTGCTTTGACAAATAATGGCTTCCGAGCTTGTTGATGACACATGCTCTACCATCTGATGCTACCATACTGAATAGATGAAAAGGAAAAGGCTTGAAGCACAGTTTTTCATTCATATAGCATGGTGACAATATGAAGGAAAGACGGGGTCTGAGGCGAAATACTGCAGGGAAAGTGTACTGTGGTGTAGTCTGGATTGAGTGACATCAGTGATTCATCAGCTTTATGCTCTGTGTGGCACATACACATAAACATGAAAATGCTATATAAACAGACCATTTATGTAGGTTGAGCTATTTAAGAAAAAGATGAAGGTCTCTAGTTGTGTGTGCATGCTCTGCGACAGTTTTGGAAGATGAAAAACATAAAACATGGACAGATGCATTTACATTGAAAAATGTGCAAATCTTTCATCATTAAATGCTTCATTTGGTCAGTGTTGTAAATCTTTTTGTTGATGAAACCGTATTATTGGGATGCAGTGGCAACTCATCAAGGTTTGCTGTCATGTTTTCTCCCCTAAGGTGATCATAGAAAGATGGGTTGCATGAGAAGTTCTGATACAAAAATCTAGTTTCTGCATGTTAATATAATTCTCTTGTCATCAACATGTATGATATCATTCACTCATGCATGGTCTTTTTAAATGTGTATTTGTGTGTGCATGCATATAGTCAAGTCAGGAGGAGCAGCTGAAGCAGAAGCTTCTGGAGGAGCAGTTTGCTCTGCTGCAGGGAACCGTCGCAGAGGCCGAAAACATCATCCAAGATGCTGTTGCTAAGCTGGATGATCCCCTCCACGTACGCTGCACCAGCTCTCCAGGTCAGACCCATACTCTGTTATTTCTGAACAGATTAACAACGAAATATGTGAATAGTGTGAGTTAAGAAAAAAAAAGCTAAGTTGAATGTTACAACCCTAGTTGGTTGATCATATACAGTATATTGTCTTTTCTGGAGAGTTATTTT